AATCTAACGAGGATTATTGGAAGCTTAACAACGTAAAAATTTTACGGTTCTAACGAAGTACGGTGTAATCCTTTTCAAGAATATTATACAGATTTTTTCCTACTCCGGATATATTAAGGCTAAGCCCTTCCTTCATTTTGGAATGATCCAAGTAACGATACATAAACGTAATGCTATTTCATAAGTATTTCTACTCTTAGAATTTAAAGATGTCTTATTTGTGATGATTCTGAAAGGTTCTGCTCAAAAACCTTTATGGTGCTTGTTGTTGTCTTTCTTACAGGGGTTCATGCAAAAATTTAGTTTAATTTGAGCTAGAGAAATAAACTATTGACAGTCTTGGTTTTAACTCAAAAAAGAAAAGGAATAATAAAAGAAGATGGTGTGGATATATGACTTTGGTTTGGCGATGTTGATGCTAAATTGACTAGCGTTTAGGAAAATAATTTTAGTACAGATAGGGAATGTTAGTTAATTTCTTATGAATCCATGATTAGGTTATATTTATAGAGAATCATATATGTTGTATTATTTTCTAAGTGTACCAGGAACTTTCCTGCCAAATTAAATAAAACTGTTGCTTCACCAAAAAGAGAAATGCCAATAGGTTTGAGTTAATTCTACACGACAAATATTTTTGGTGCAAAGAAAAGATACTTGTAATTTAGGTAGGGCAGTTATGCATTTACCACCGAGCTACGGCCGGTTGGGCAGTTGTACATCTACTATCAAACTGTGGCCGGTCGGGCAGTTACCACCGGTTGGATAGTTATGCATTTACCACCAAGCTACGGCTGGTCGGGCAGTTACCCCTGATTAGTTGGGCAGTTAACATCACAAAAATGAGGTAACTAGAAATATTATATTGTAGTTTTATTTATATATACGAGATGGGATTTATTCTATATGTTACGGCCCTCGGCAAGTCAGAAGTTATAAGTTGACTTTTATCTCTCCCCAAGATAGTATTTTATTATTATTACGTTTCATTGTTGCCTTACATACTCGGTACATTCTTTGTACTGACGCCCTTTTTTATGGGGCGTTGTGTTCATGTCGCGTAGATGTAGGTAGGCAAGGTGAGGACCATCCATTGTAAGCTGCCTCCAGATATCAACTTTTGGTTGGTAAGCTCCAAATCTTCCTAGAGTATTGCCGAGTCACGCTCTATATATGTTATTTTGTTTCATGAGGATGTCGGGACCCTGTCCTGTCTTATATGTTATGGTCATGTTTTCTTAGAGGTTTTGCAGACAGTGTCATGTTATAGCTTTAGGTATGACATGTCAACGGCCTTGTCGGCCTCTATGTATCTATATAAATCTTTTTAGATTAAATATGTGAGTTAAGTACTAATATTGTTAATTATATATATAGTTGTGGCCTATCATGGCCCTTGACGAGTCTTATAAAAAAAATAAGGTATGTGGTGCTCGATTGAGTAGGCACTGGGTGTCCGTTGTGGCCCTCTAATTTGATTCGTGACATTTGATGTTTTGGACCGCATATGCGAAATTACTGGCATTATTATTATATTTTGAGGGTTAGCTCATTTTTCACTATTTTGAGTTTTGGAGCTCGGGAAGAGGCAATTTTGGAAGGAATATTCACTACTACTTTGAGAGTAAGCGCTTTCTACTTAATCTTGATTATATATCTTTTTTTCACATGGATTTATACATTTAGATTATGAAATTTGAAAGAGAAATTTGGGATTTTGTCTACAATTTAAGAAAGTATAAATTGGGATTTTGGGAGTTGATTTGGACTCGATCATAGAATTTAATTACGCACTTGGACTCATGAGATTATGGGTAGCCGGGATCTATTCCTTGACTCTAGTTTTGGCAATATGGGCTCAGGTTGACTTTTTTTACTTTTGAAAATTTGATTAAAGATTGAAGCTTTATTATTTGGAATTAATTCTGATTGTGTGCCTTCCATGCTAGTGTGGAATTAATTCCAAATAATTCAACTACATGAGCTTTAATATTATTGTTAATATTGTTTTGGCAATATGGGCTCGGGTTGGAATTAATTCAACTACATGAGCTTTAATATTATTGTTAATATTGTTTTGGCAATATGGGCTCGGGTTGGAATTAATTCAACTACATGAGCTTTAATATTATTGTTAATATTGTTTTGGCAATATGGGCTCGGGTTGGAATTAATTCAACTACATGAGCTTAACCTTTCATGCTAGTATCCATGTTTAGGATTACTATTTTGTAATTGGCCAAGGTGGGTTATTTGTAAAATTATTGTTACACTTGATTTAGCCGTAGTCATGCCTCACATCTTGAGCACATATCCATACCTTTCATGAGCTTAACAATATGAGCTTTAATATTGTTTTGGCAATATGGGCTCGGGTTGGAATTAATTCAACTACGTGAGCTTAACCTTTCATGCTAGTATCCATGTTTAGGATTACTATTTTATAATTGGCCAAGGTGGGTTATTTGTAAAATTATTGTTATACTTGATTTAGCCGTAGTCATGCCTCACATCTTGAGCACATATCCATACCTTTATTTATGTCCTTGTTCACCTTATTGATTATTTCTGAGCATATTCCTCTTTAAAGATAAAATATTATTTCTAATTGCTATGATTATGGCATATATAGACATGTTGAGCGAATTGATTTAGTTGTGGCATGAGGTCTATGTCATGCAGTTGAGGTGACATTGTCACTGTTATGGCACGAGGTCTTTGATATGCAGTGTGTGGATATGGATCCATCCCCCTAGGTCAGCCTCTCATGTTTCTCTCGTGATGGCGAACACGCAGATTTTGATAAGTTGACGGATGTTTGGTAGACTCTGATTAGAATCTGATGTGGTGAGTTTTGAGTATAAAAGTGGAAGCTTTGACCATTCAAGTGAATCCCTTATGCCTTATCATGCATTATATATGTTTTCTACGTTGAATTCTAATATGCTACTTGATGCCTCTATTATATGCCTTTGACTCGTTCATAAAGATTGAATTATCCATTGCTAAGATCTTTGGCAATGTTGTATCTCTTATTTTAGTTTTGTTGTGAATAATTATGAACTATATAAATTTATTTGATTAATAGGCATCACATGACGTGAACCTCGTCACTACTTTATCGAAGTTAGTCTTGATACTTATTGAGTACACATGGTCCTGCACTCATACTATACTTCTACATATTTTTGTACAGATCCGGGCATTGGAAGTATCGAACTTTAGGAGGAAGCCTAGTAGATATCAGAGGAGACTCAATGTAGTGTTGCATGATCGGTCGCACCCTCTAGGAGTTCCCTTTCTCCTATTTTCATATTGTTATTTATATTTCAGATAGTATTAATATTATTGAGATTTTTTGTTGTATCCTATTTAGAGCTCATGACTCTATACTATCAAGTTTTGGAGGATTTGATGTTGTAGTATCTTTATACTATCTGTTGTTGAAAGTCTTATTCCTCTATTTATGCTATTTTAGTTATATTTCACCTTGATTATGTTGGTTTACTCTATATTGGATGTTGGCTTATCTAGTCATAGGTGTTAGGTGTCATCACGACCATTGGTAGAATTTTGGGTCATAACAAATTTAAAGACTAAAAGGATCTTTAACATATTTTTTATATTTGATATTAGAAAAAGGTTATCTTGTATATCTAATAAGGTTCTTTACAAATGTGCGAAACGCGATCAAATTTATTAGTAAGTGTATATAGCGAATGTAGAATGTATAATGTAATATATAATATTTAATGTGTTCTGTTGTTGTGTAATTGTAAAGTTTTTAATAGTGGTTGGCTGAAGATTAATTAGTGGGTCTTTATAAAATGTAGTGTTTCACTTATTATTGAAGATTGAATGAGTTTATGCAAAGTAAGGAGCTCTAAGGATCGTCCATGGCTGTGAGAATGTGAGTGGATAAAAATAAAGGATGTTGTTAGTTTTTTAAAATTATGAAGTAGTAGAGATGATGGATCAGGGTGGTAGAGCTACAGCGAAAAGAGAATTGAGAAAAATATTAAAGGGTAGAGGTGAGGTGAAGCTGAGATGAACAAGATAAGTTAAAAGAAGAGTAGTGCTTTTTTATTTCAATTTATGTGATACTATTATTTTTTACTAGTCTATTTCAAAAAAACAAATATATATATATATACGATATTTTTTTAGCTATAATAGATTTTTATCGACACATAAACGTTATGATATATTTTAGATTACAAATTTAAAAGTTTCAAAATCACATAAATATTATGGAAGAAAATACCGTTAATTTGAATATGGACATAAATATTATAGTAAATCTAAAATTATAAATTTTACTAGTTTTAATTTCTTTCTTAAGTTTCATACTCAATTAAATACATAAATTAAAATGCAGAAAAAAAAATAGGATATTGGAAACTTGACAAGGTAAAATTTATACATCAAAATAACGATTACGCTTCACCCTTTTTTTTTTTTTTTCTACTGGGACATCTTGTCTTGCTTAACGACGAAGTTCGATAATTTTGATATGGGATAAGGGCATTTATGCCATTTGACTGGCTGCAACTAGGGCTGTGCGGGTATCGGATCGGATTTAGCATATTTCGGATTCTAGAAAATGCAATCCGAATCCGATCGAATTTTAAAGTTTGGATCGGATCGGATATCATATCGTATTATTATGCCTCAAAGTTAAACTAATATGTATATTCCTTTGTAAAAGAGACAATATATTAAGAAAAATTCATGTTTATGCAATTACGAGAGTATTATGGTGTCAATATAGCTAAATTTAGCAATTGTAAAGGTAATAATTTGGATGTTGATGTAAATTAAAGTGTAATATTTATACATGTCCTGAAAATTTCGAATTTCGAATTGGATTGGATTAAAATATATCAATCCGAAATCTGATCCAAAATCCGAAATTTTAATAAACACAATCCGAAATCCGATCCAATCCAAAATCCAAAATGATATTCGATCCGAATGAACAGCTAGCTGCAACGCCCACAGAAACGCGTACCGTAAGGCAGACTCAACAAAAGGACACGTATCTTTATGTCATCACTATCCTTTCTCTACATTTCCAAATTAAGGCAAAGCGGTTGTTCTTCTGATCAATTGTTAGCACAAAGCTTCATCATATTCTTCTGTTTATCCTCATCTTTTATTATTCCATAACTCAAAAAGGAAACAAAAATGGGGCTGCTTTCTAACAGGTAATCTGAGTTTTTTGTTTTTTTTTTCATGTGTAGTTTTTTCAAATGTTTTCTGATTTTAGTTTTTGCGTGAAATGGCCACAGAATTGGTAGGAGCAGCCTCAAACCAGGAGATCATATTTATTCTTGGCGTGCTGCTTATATTTATGCACATCACGGTTAGAATCTATTTTCTTCTTTATGGTAAATAATGTTGTTTTGCGTAAATGAAACATTCTTTCTGTAATTGTCTGCTTTGATCTAATGTCTTAATGTTGATGTTGAAAAAAAATTGTTCTTTCTTCATTGTAAATGATGCGAGAAATCAGTGGTGTATATAGCACTATACTTACGGGCTCAATTGAACCCATAATTTTTAAGGCAAAATTTATTAAAATTGTAAGAACTAGTGAATATGAACCCATAACTTTGAATATGATGGGTTCAACATTAAAAACCTTAAATATTGAACCCATAAAATTTGAATTATGGATCGGCCTCTGAATATAGTGGTATTTAATTTTTACATATTATGGAAATGAAATGATACCTGGCGTTGTCCTTAGATTATTGATCTTTTTTGGATAAGGTGACCTTAGATTATTGATAGCATTTAAATTTCAGGAGGATTGATTTTTCTTATTTAACTGTGAGTATTTGGATATAACGACTGTGCTGCTGTTTCTACTGTATAACGACCACAAACTCCTAAATGGATAAAATATTGGTCAAGTATGAAATTAGGAATAAATTGCAGTATTTGAGTGTCCCATCTCTTTTATCTAGCAATACTCAGGGGCGACTTTTTTCTGAATTATGGGCTTACTGGTAGAGCTTAGGTTTCCTCATGACGTTTAAGGAGGAGGGACGGATAGCTAGCATATAGAGCAAAGGTGCGGTGTGGACCTTTTCAGAAAGAATTGTGGTTGGGGCACATTTTCCAATGCAAAGACTTACAAAGATCTGTAATTATGTACTCTTTCATCCTAAAGCTGAATGGGTTGTTTTGACTTGGCTTCACTATTAAGATTGGAGTTTGAAAGGTGAATTAGTTATTGGAGTACTACATGCGGAATAACTTCTCTAGGAACTATTTAGGAACTGAAGGGAAAGGTGTATCAAGAATTATATATTTGTAAGTCTCTTATTGCATGATATGATTTGGGTTGCCATTTCTTTTTAACATACTAAAAAGAAGGTTGAAATTCAATTTAGGAATTGGGATAGTGAAAGTATTTAAAGCTGTAAAAGAAGTAGGCAGTAGGCACACCTCCTATATATTCTTTCACTCGAGCTAATATGCACATGTAGGCTTCCATTAATAAACTCCTTTGCTTGTCCAGACTTTCATTAGCCAGGATTCTTCAAGCAAGATGTGTATATGCTAGTAAAAGTTGGTCTAGAGGCATAGGAAATCGTTTGATTTTAAAATGAGGTGTTTTCAGAATTTGTTGTATCCGCAATGATTTCATCCATGTTGTGGCATTCTTGTAGTATTGGTTGGTCTCTATTTATCAGATGTTAATTCCTTCTCACGTAGAACTGGGGCAAGTGATATGATTTACTTATTTGGTGTACCTGCACTCCCTTGTCTTGCAAGCAATACTTCTAGGAAGCTGCCTTGCGCACGCGCAGATATTGTTTTGCTATCTGTCCATTTCTTTTTCCCTTTCAGAGAGTAAGACCTATTGCTTTCTGGAAATATCTTGATTAAGCTATCCAAAATGACCTATTCTGACTGAGGCAAAGTTCGCTGTCCATTGGTTAGTTTTTCTGGCTCTATAAGTTTTTAGGCAGTTTATATTAGCAGAAGAAAGTAATAGGTGGCAAGTTTTTTGTTGATCTGGTGACTCCAGCTTAGGTTTTGAACTGGGGAAATTAGGACTTGCAACCTCTGTTGCTCATATCCTCGAAAAATGTAACTGCACCCAATGTGGCTGCGGTTACATTTTTAGAGGGTTCGAGCAACATAGCTTGCAATCCTCTCCTTACCGCTCCAACCATGTTGTCAAGATGCTTCAACTACAAATAATATGAACATTTGTTTTTGAGGAACACAATATGTACCAGTTTCATTGATCTCCCCTCCCCCATACTCCCTTCCACTTCATGAATGGGTTATAGATGTTTGCATACGAAAGCACAATACATTAGGTGATCTCTTCCCATCTATCCAAGGATAAGCCTTGGTGGATAGAGTTACCTGATACCTGTTGTTGGTGGGAGGTGGCACGTACCCCGTGAAATTAGTCAAGGTGCGTGTAAGTTGGCTCGGACACCACTATTATCAAAAAAATATTCTAAATTTTTATTTGGATTCTGAGGTGGGCATTGGAGTTGGTTGGTGGGAGGTTGCAATATGCCTCCATGAGCAGTTTCTAACTCGCTGTCCCAATCTATATGAAACATTTCCTATTTAGGACGCACCAACTCTTTTGGCACCATTTCATTTCTATAAAACTTATATGACACTGTATCTGTTGCTCAGTCTCTTCATTTTAGGTGCCGCACCCGTATCGACACGTTGTGGGTGTGGGATCCGTACCGGATATGATTAATAGATTTTGGGTACTTTGACCTAATCGACGAAGAAACTCTATACAAATACAATGATTTCTGAAATCATAGCAAAAGCTAGGATGCAATTGAAGAAAATGGATTATGTTGTATTTAGAAATTTCTATTTCAGTCCTCTTCCTATTATCTTCATCTTGGATTCTTCTCTGGAAATGTAGAAGGCCTACAAGTTATTGTTATAAAATGTTTTTCTATTTCCTTATTGCTTAGTTCAAATCTTAATGCTCTTCACTTTTTACTGTTACTGAACTTGTAGGCCTTTTCCTGCATTATACAAGCACCATGTAAGTTTTTCACATAATGTTGCATACTGTTATAGCTCTATTTTTAGATATTTGAATTATTTTTAGCCGAATCCCCGCACTCATATCTGTACCTGAATCTATACCCTCGAATCTTAAAATTTAGATTATGAAGGATCTGACCTCTAGATCCACGCCGGTAGCAGATGCCCGCACCCAAGTCCGAGCAACTTACTGTATTACAAAAATTTAAATTCATCGAAGTAATCAACTTTTAATTTCCTTGTCAGACTCTCTTTCAAACTAATTTTTTACCTTAATTTGATATTTTCTTCTACTTCATTGATATAATCTGTCAAATGAATAGATGAATATTATCATAAAAATTTGTTGTTGATTCACTTGTCTCTTCGGGTTTCCTGTAGTAGTGTAGTCTTTTCTTTTACTCTATTTTAATGTTCCCTTCACAAAGCTTTGTTTCTGTGGATATAAGTGCATATTCTTTGAGTCCTTGGTTACCCCAAAAAAAAAAAGGTTGATCCTACATAATAATCATTTACTCAATTTGAAATAGGGTTGGGACTCTGAAGTTATTCAAACTATTATTACCAAAAATTGAATATAGTCATTATTTTCCGCATTGAACTCTTCCTCAATAAATAGTTTTTCTCTCTCTTTGTTAAACTACCATAGCACGTCCGTTTAAGTTTGTATCCACAAACTTCGTCTCAAAAGCAATTGGTGACAGCAATTCCTGTGAATTAAAACACCTGTGTATTTCCCCCTAGGGCCTTGGTCCTAGTGGTAATGGCACGGTAATGTGTGGAATAGGCACACATCATTAGTTCGAACCTTGCCGCAAACAAAAGGCTGGTACAATAGGCTATTTAAGTGGAGAAGGGTAGAAGGGTGGGTTCATTATCTAACGAGTTTCGAACTGTGCATCGTTGTCCCCGAGGATTTCTCAGTTATCCCCAAAAAACAAAAGGGAAAGAACAGCGGTGTGTTCATGCACATGTCCCTTCTCGGTTATCATGCTTTTCCTTGTCTATTATATCTCTGGCATAGACTGCAGTGTGTGGGTTGACATTTTGTATCAACTTAAAATCATCTCTATTCTGTAGTTGACAAATATATCCAAGATCTTCCTTGACCTAGGCTTTAGGTCTGCCTCTTTGGTAGAGCTATTCCTTATGTTTGGGAACTCAAATATATATGAGCTCAGTTTACATGATAGACAAGGAAATGGGGTGATACATTTCACGTGGAAAGCAATTGATATTTTTTTTCCTAAAAAGTAGGACGTAGAGAGCAATCATATCAGAATTTTAAGTTGTATAAATATAACACATTCCATGTACGAATACACACACGCAAAAAAGAAAAGAAATAACTGACATAAAAAAATAAAAAAAATAAAATGGTAGTTGATTCATGTTGTGTTATTATTCTTAGTGACGTCAAGCTTTCAGTTAATATGTTTAAAGAAAGACATGTCATTGATATATCATTATTCAACTGTCAGTTCTACCTGTCATCCTAATCAGCGGAGGTCTTAACTTGAATTAACCTTTCATCTCACAAGGAATGGAGAGGAAGAGAACTTTTTTCTCAGAACTCCATTTTGTTACAACATGCTATAGGCAGAGTTTACTCTCTGACAGTTGCATTAACCTTTTATCTTATAAGGATTGGAGAGAGAGAGAATCTTTTTCCCAGAACATCCATTTTGTTGTAACGTGCTATAGGCACAGAGTTTATGCCGACCGTTAAAATAAAGAATGAAGGAATGAAACCTTAGACAGTCTCGTAAACATAGCAAAATTTTATTAACTTTCTAGTGGGTGCTGTACTTGGTGCACCATTTGACATGAGCATACTGACATTATAGTGACGTCCCGGTTAGTACAGTTCCTGGTTACGAGAACACAGGGTTCCTGACTAACAGCAGTTCCTGGCGCAGGACGAGGAAAGGGAGTTGCAACAGTTCATTTAGGATCTTTTATCCTTGAGGAGTCTTGTGAATAACCTCTTTTTATTACTGGATTTTATATTGCATTTAATGATGATAAGGTCAGAACAACAGTGGTTGTGATTGGCAATGTACTGTACCATTCTCTCCTCCTTATCGCTTTTCTAATGGTAATTTTTTCTTGAAATTGTGTTACATGGACTATTGAGTCACTACTTTTGTGTTGTAATGGAGAACTTTGCAACATTCTGGATGTTGTTCTTGTTCCAAGTGTTGCGACATTGGCACTGTCAATGTGGGTGGAGCTCATTCACTTAATAGAGCAGTTAACTATAAATCAGAAGATGATCCAATAATGGCAGGGGAAAAATTCCTTCAGGGTCAAATTAGGAGTAATTTGCTTGTTACAAGATGGTTTATCGTCCTTTCTATATGTTCAAGGTAGTTGGCTCCTTCCCGGTTTTCAGCGTAGTCTAGAGAAGATATAGATTGCTTAGATACTGCTTCCCAGCATCACTTTGGCATTTTATTTTAATCTTGTTTATGCTTTCTGAATTTCGACCATATGGTTTCCTGATTACCCTTGATCTTAAGATTGTATAGAGGTGGCAGATAAACTTCGAAGTACAAAAATTATTTTCTCATCATATTGAAAATATGCCTAACTAACAGGTATCTATATTGGGGATAATAAAGTCATTCACTTCACAAGACGTGGTCAAGAAGTCGGAACTGGGACTATTTTGGATCATATCTTGGTAAGCTCGATTCCAAATCGGTCTCCTGTGCCTTGCACAAACTGCACCCCACCATCAGAAGGTCATGGAGTAGTTTCGTCATGTTTGGACTGCTTTCTTGCTGGAGGTATCCTCTATCGCTTTGAATATGCTGTGAGCCCTGCTGTCTTCCTCGCGAAAGCACGCGGAGGAACCTGCACTCTTGCAGTCTCCGACCCAGATGACATTGTGGTCCGTCGAGCAAACTACCTCCTTACGAATGGCTTTGGATGCTACAATGTGTTCAAGAACAACTGTGAGGACTTCACCATCTACTGTAAGACAGGACTCCTCGTGGTAGATCAGAGTACAATGGGCCAAAGCGGACAAGCAGTGTCTATAATTGGTGGACCACTTGCAGCTGTTATGTCAACACCACTACGCCTTGTCACAACCAATGTATATGGGATGGTAGCGACAGCTGTTGGGGTTTATTGTGCCAGCCGCTATGCAGCTGATATTGGCATGCGGACGGATGTGATGAAGGTGTCTGCGGAAGATCTAACAACGAGGCTAACAACTGGCTTGCTGCAGGTTGTTGAACCGAACCTTGCAGCTTTGCCAGCTACTGTTAGCTAGTATTATTTCTTTATATGTAATGTGTTTAGAATCGGAAAGTGAACGTTCTTTTTTAAGTCATTGGAGCCTCTTGCTATATGTCCAAGGCTCTTTTATTACGTGCTGTTTCGCCTCCAAAAACTTGTAATGGACTATTGTAATTGTGATGTTTAATTCATTCCCCCTTCCCCTTATATGTTCCTTTTTCAGTTTGCTAATTTTGCAATTTACCTTTATGTGATCCAAAAGATCAGTTCAGTAATAATTCGAAGAAAAATACTCTCACGGGAAAAGACGAAAGCATTTGATATGTCTATTTATCAGAAAGTAGAAAGGTTTCCACTTTTTTACGTAGTGTTGTAAAACAGAAGCGTGATGTATTCATGAAGATTGGGAAAAATTGGAGCCCTATCGTACATGGGGATTTAGGCCGTTGTTCATTTCGCCAAACTATGTATTTTATGTATATGTTTTGTAAAATTGATCTAATATTATTTGTTAGGCCCCTGTATTTCAAGAAGGTTGAATGGTGCACCTGGTTGAATGCTGAGTTATTTATTTAAAGGAACATGGATTGATTCTCACATAATACTTCTTTTCTCGCTTTTTCAGTGGTGCACTTATGTTCTAAAAATCCTAGATCCGTCAGCGGTGGTGATCAATTCTATTCTCTTGCATTCATGTCTTGCAGTTGATAATAGAAAAGAGTTCCCAGATTTTATATGGTGGGGAATTATGATAAATAGCCTATAATAATGGGTAAAATCTAAATAAATAAATTAATTAATTTTAAAAAAAAAAAATCTCCATTCAATTATTATGCCATAGTTTGATTGTGCGCTAAGCTTTACATCTCGTTTGGATGGTTGTGGGCGGCCCCACGAATTTTGTGGCCTAAAGCCAAATATAACTTTTTAATTTTTTTTAATTATTTATTTGAAGTCTATTTTTTTAGTTTTTCTTAGATACAAAGTTATTAATAATTTTCTTATAATCAATAACTCCTAATAAGTATTTCTCAATTGACAATATAGCTAATTCATTTAACCTTTCTTGTAACATTGTTGTTCTTAGGTAAGATTTTATCAATTTTAATTTTGAAAACTTCTTTCCGCTGAAGCAACGGTAACATAAATTATGAACATTATTCTATAAGCAATTTAGGCATTTGGAAAAGAATTATACCTTTTTATTTGATTAGGTGTATCAATTAAACTGTTATATTCTAATTGTACTATTTTTTCTTAATACTTTTAATTCTGAAAATAAATTTGAACCATCAATATCGAATTGATTATTATGCTTTAAGGAACATTCTTAAGGTAATATTTTTTTCAAATTTCCAACATCTAGTTATCTTAGTTTTTACTACCAAATAGAAAACCAAAAATATTTTCATATGCTTCGAATTGTTCAAATCTATTTTGAAGTGAAAAATAGTCTTGTCTATTATGTATAAAAGTAATCAACTCTAAAGGACTCTTCGAAAGATTTTGAGATTTTATTATCAACATTCGCATCAAATTGTTACTTCCTATATATCACACGTTTCTTACGAAATTCGGGTTCGATATTCATTTCAAATGCAATTTCCTTGGTAGAATCATAACAATTGCAAATCTTTCTCCTCTATGTTTGTTAAAGAAAAAAATCAAACTTTTTCACTTTAGAGAACTCCTTTTTAAACATATACATAGTCTATTAGGTGTAACAAAAAATGGGGCCCCCACAAATATGAAGTCTAATGCGGTTGCTTTACTTGTTTTATGGAAGGGCCGCTCCCGTTGCTACCTATTGTATTGTATCGTATTGTTACTTTAAATACAATGTTTGTTTTGATTGTTACTTAAATTTTATCGTATCGTATCTTTAAATCCATCTTTACGTAACGATGAAATGTGTCACTTTATGTAACGACCACTTTGGTATGGTTGCGACATTACTTTGTCTTTTTCTCTCAATCTCACCCTTCATTATTATTAAATAATTTTATTTTATTATTTACCCTGCCTTTTTATATACAATATCATAATTTTTCTTTATAATATTATAAGTTTATTCATCATATTACTGGTGTGTGATACCATAAAACGACGGCAAAACGACACAATCCATCCAAACATTATATTCATCAAACGATACAGTACAGTATAATACGATACGATACGATACATTATGAAACGATATGTAACAACTATTCAAACAAGTTGTTAAGAAAGAAAGATTTTTGAAATTTGTACTTTTAAAACATATCACAATATTTGTGTGATTATAAAACTTTGAACTTATTATCTTAAATAAGGGTAAATGATAAGTTCAAAATTAATAGTTTCCAAATATGAAAAATGTGTTTTAGTCTTGGAACAGTCTAACGAGGAAATATAGTATCATACAAGTGGGAACAAAGGGATTAGAAATAAGATGAAAAGAAAACCATGAATGGCACGTTGTCGGCAAGAAAGCATTTGTATGTAAGTGTAACACCAAACAAGATTTGATAAATGACAAATACATAAAAGTAAAGTAGTGAAGTTGTTCAGAGTGAGGAATTAACATATCACATTGAAGGAAAGGGATTGAGCCTAGTGATTGGAACACAAACCAAAGGATTAGCTCTAGGAAGAGTAATGCCAGGTGCCTCTTCCATGTCTAATTTACCACTAACCTTCCATTCAAAGCACTGAATCATGGCAGCAAGGCTTGTCTGAACCAATTGCAATGCCAATGAAGTTCCAGGGCAACCTCTTCTCCCACTCCCAAATGGCAGAAAATGATAATGCTGTCCCCTTACATCCAACTGGTCCCTCAGAAATCTTTCAGGTAAAAATTCAAGTGGATTTTCCCAATATTGTGGATCCCTATTGATTGCCCACGTATTGACTAGTAGCCTAGTGTTTCCTGGTACAAGATAACCTCCGATGCAACAATCTTCAGTTGATTCTCTGATGATCATAGGCCCTGTAGGGTGTAGTCTCAGAGTTTCGTTAACAATGGCTTCAAGGTAAGGGAGGTTCGCCATGTCCGATTCTTCCACGACTCGATTCTTACCAACCACAGAATCAATTTCTTCAACTGCCTTGTCCATAATGGTTGGATGATTCATCAGTTCTGCTATTGCCCACTCTGTTGTGATTGCTACTGTATCAGTTCCAGCAGCAAATATGTCCTGTCAAATAATTATATTTTAAGCACTTTTTGACTTTGTCAAACACTAAAAAAGCTAAAAAGAGCTTAAAACTGATTTGACGAGCTTAAAAGTCAATCTAAACACCCTCTTAAAGACCTCGGAAGCAACTATGTCGAAGCATATATAAAAAAATAAATTAAATTAATTAAAAAAAAAACTATATGTGACTTTCTTCTATTTCTGAGAATATTTCTCATTACTTGGGCCGGCAAATTAAAGTAGCTGTTTGAAACCATCATACTAAATTTCAGATGCGCGATTTCGTCTTTAATAGGCTTGAACTAGTCCTCAATATTTAATTTGTGCTATGATTTGCCAACGAAATTACAGCTCCATGTATTCTGACATTTGGTCACTCTGATCTTGGCATGGATTTTTGAAAATATAATATACATATATATATATAGTAGGTAAGGTAAGTTTTATAGAGCCGTGGTTAGACCGGTCATATTGTACTGGGCAGAATGTTGGCTGGTCAAGAACTCTCAAATCCAGAAGATGAAGGTAGCAGAGATAAGTATGTTGAGGTGGATGTCCGGGCACACTGGGACGGATAAGATTAGGAATGAGGATATTTAGGAGAAGGTGGGCGTGGCCCCGGTGGATGACAAGATGCGGGAAGCGAGACTCAGATGGTTCGGACACGTACGGAGGAGAAGCCATGATGCTCCGGTAAGCAGGTGTGAGCGGTTGGCTTTGATGGGTACGAGAAGAGGTAGAGGGTGACCTAAGAAGTATTGGGGAGAGGTGATTAGGCAGGACATGGCACGACAGTAGATTTCCGAGGACATAGCCCTTGATAGGAAGGTCTGGAGGTCAAGTATTGGGGTTGTAGGCTAGGGAGTAATCGAACTTTTTCTACTTCATACCGGGGGTGAGGCGGGTTTGATAGGGTTGATCTTAGACGGTTAGTGGTTAATGTTGAGTCCACACTATCCTTTCTGTTTATCGTAGCCCCGGGCCTTAGTTACTGGTTATTGTTATTGCATGTCATCTATTTTATGGTTTTTATGAATCTATTACTATTTCTATGGTTTTTGCTGACATTACTGATGAATTGTCTCTTCTTGTTTTATTTCCGTCTTACTGAGCCAAGGGTCTATCGGAAACAGCCTTTTTGCCCCATTGGTGTAGGGATAAGGTCTGCATACACTAACTTCCTCCAACCTCACTTTGTGAGATTTTACTAGGTCGTTGTTGTTGTATATATAGTAGGTAAAGTTGTGTTACTTTAACGTTCCAAAATAAATAGTATGGTAACTATATTGTTATAGTGGATAAATCAATATACGATGAAATTAATGCTACAGAGGAGAAACTTACAAGTATGAAAGCCTTGATGTTTTCTCTTGTCAATGTCAGCTCTGAGTCTTGGTCCTCTGCTATATCAAGTAGAATATCAAGCAGATCTTTCACTAATTCACCAGCTCCACCCTTACTTAGACTATTTCTCCTCCTCCTTGTTTCTTGGTGTTCATTTATGATTCTCTCCATCATCTCATCAAACCTTCTATGCACATCTTTTGTCCTTTTCCCAAATCCCTGCAAATCCAAATTCTTACAGAACCAAATATAATCAGACAGATTAAATTTTCCAGTTAGTTCAGCAATCTCTTGAACTAGCTTCCTCATACTTCCAGCTTCCTCTTCATTTTCCGAACACCTCTCGCTCATTAACATTCTCGATATCACATTATTCGACGCCCTCAACAGCTCAGCTTCAATATCAACAGCTACACCATCCTTGGCCTTTTGCAAAAGCAACTCAACAAAACACTTTATTTCGTCGCGCCTTACTGGAAGAAGCATGTCCAATGTCCGACCACCTAGGAGCTCGGACATGCATATTTTCTTCATGAACTTCCAGTAAACCCCATAAGGCGCGAACGAAAAGTCTTGCGAGCCATAAGTTAAGTAATCGACCACAGCTGTCTGTGGTCGATTTAGGAACGAATTTTCATGAGTTTTGAGGACTTGTTTTGCAATTTCAGGTGATGAAACTACAACACAAGGGACAGAGCCAAGTTTTATGTGGATCAAAGGTCCATAACGGTTGGAGAGCTTGTGAAGTGCTTGGTGAGGAATTGGAGATAAGAGGTGTAAGTGACCAATTATAGGTAAACCAAATGGGCTAGGAGGAAGATTTTGACGAGTGGTTTTTTTACGGAATATAACATATTTGAGAAATAAGGTAGAAGATAGCCATACAAGAAATAGCATCAAGTAGTAGCCTTGGATTTCTGCCATTTTCTGACTTTTGTGTTTTTGGTTTTGCACCTATTTATACAAAAATCAAAGTATGACTTTTTCAAACCTCCTATGCACTAATTTAATTGGTAAGGACATAATCCAAAAATAAAATAAAAATTTAACAATGAAGGCCGGCATTGACACATTCTCAAGGAGCTAAATTTGTCTTGATTTCTTTTGTCTCCTTCCTTGTTGAGATTCTTATGGATCAAAGCTATTACGCTTTTCTGCATTATTTACTAAATAAGGCATCTCTTTTTTTTCGAACTAAAAGCAGTGATCTCATTATTTATTATTCTAGCAAATTCATCGTTCAAATCAATCGTTAATCATTTAAAGATTAAATATATATATATATATACATATTTGTCACGTCCTTAGTTGTTAACTAAGTACACGTGCGGCACTTGATAACTTGCTCACGATCTTGCACAACGTGCTTACGTTCTTGCTATGTCAAGTCAGTCTTACTACACTCAAGATCGCTAAGAGAATGGAAGAAAGAACACAAGAGAATTGTTAAAGGAAGCTTTGTATTAGAGAAAACTTGAATTGTTTGCTTGATGAATTACAAATGAATGACCCCCTTTATATACTAGTCTCCTAAGGGCTAGTGTGTAAATATTAATTATGACACAAGTCCTTAATATTTACAAGATAAGGGCTTTTTCTAGAATTCTCTACAAGCCTAGAAGATTCCAAGGACTTTCCTAGCAAATCCATAAGAATCTAGGTTCTTCCTAAGGAAATGTCCATACCTCTCTAGAATCTTCTCACAAATGCTAGCCTTCTTCTTATGTAAGCTTCCACATGGCATTAATATATGCCAAATGGCACTTATGTGGCATGATGATATGGCGGGTCATCACACTCTCCCCCACCTAATATTGCGACGACCGTGGCGCAATGCTGCTGCATAAACTCTCGGATCTTATCTTTGAATTGCCACAAGTCTTCATATCGTTCCCACGTGGCCTCCTCCGGTGATTGCCCTTTCCAATGGACAAGGAACATAGCAGTGGCTTTTTGCCCTTGTTTTCGCCTGGCCTGGAAATCTATGATAGCCTCAATCTCCCGATCATGCGAGGCGGTGATAGTCATTGGCGCCTGACTTGATTGGCCCCTACTCGGATCATCCTTATCTTCATGATATGGCTTAAGCATGCTAGCATGGAAGACAAGGTAGATCTTGAGATACGATGGCATGTCAAGCTTGTATGAGATCTTACCTACCTTCGCGACGATCTTAAATGGCCTCTCATACTTGCGAATCAAATTTTGATGCATGCCCTGTAGTGCCTTGAACCGTCTTGGGTTAAACTTCACCATGACCATGTCCCCAACTCTATAGTATGTGGGACGCCGCTTATGGTCTGCAAACTTCTTCATCTTCTTAGCTGCCTTATCCAAGTAGGACTTACCAGTGTCGAGCTACTCATCCCATCCTTTGGCCATATGATAAGCCCCCAAACTCTTTCCCTCGAACGCGGCTGGTAATGAATGTGGAGTTTGTGGTTGTTGGCCTGTGGCTAGCTCAAATGGTGTCCGCCCAGTGGACTCACTCCGCTGCAAGTTATAAGAGAATTGGGCGATGTCCATGAGCTTTGCCCAATCTTTCTGATGCGCACTTACATAATGCCTCAAGTAGCATTCTAGTAAGGCATTGACTCGTTCCGTTTGTCCATCAGTTTGTGGGTGGAAACTAGTAGAAAAGTGCAGCTCCGTACCAAGTATGTCAAACAACTCTCTCCAAAAGTTTCCAGCAAAGCAGGGGTCTCGATCACTGATTATATGCCTTGGTAAGCCCCAATACTTCACCACGTTCTTAAAGAACAGCTTGGCGGCTTCCGTGGCTGTGCATTTTGGTGAGGCGGGCATGAAGGTGGCATATTTGGAAAATCTATCCATGACTACCATAATAGTACCATATCCGTCGGACTTTAGTAAGCAAGTAATAAAGTCCATAGTTACGCTCTCCCATGGACGCTCTACAACTGGTAGTGGCTCCAAAAGTCCTCCGGGTTGTTGCTGTTCAACCTTGTCCTGTTGATAGACAAGACAAGTCTGCACATAGCACTTTATGTCATCATGCATGCGTGGCCAAAAGTAGACTGACTCAACCAGGGCCCTAGTGCGACGTTGACCTGGATGACCAACCCATATTGTGTCATGACTCTACCTTATGATCCGTCGTCTAATGTCTCCAAATTTAGGCACATAGACCCGTCGACCTGTGGTAAGTAGTAGGCCGTCTTCTATCCAAAACAGTCTCGTCTTGCCTTTGTTGGCTAACTCGATAAGCTGTTTGGCTGCTAGATCATGTTGCATGCCTTCTTTTATAGCCTCCCTAATATCCCATCTCGCTGAAGTAATTGCAACAAGCTTGACTTTCCGGCTCAAGGCATCGGCTACAACATTACCTTTTCTCGGCTTATACTCCAGCGCATAATCAAACTCGGCCAAGAAATCCTGCCACCTAGCCTGCTTTGGTGTGAGCTTCTTATGTGTCTGAAAGTAGCTAGTAGCCACATTATCAGTCTTGACCACGAACCTCGACCCGAGCAGATAATGTCTCCATGTACGAAGGCACTGCACAATGGCAGTCATTTCCTTCTCTTGTACCGTGTAACGCTGCTCTGTCTCATTTAACTTGCGGCTCTTAAATGCTATGGGATGCTTATCATGCATCAAGACACCCCCAATGGCGAAGTCTGAGGCATCTGTGTGCACCTCAAATGTCTTGGCAAAGTCAGGTAATGCCAAGACTGGCTCCTCTGTTACAGCTGTCTTAAGGCATTCAAATGCCTTTTGACAATGCTCCGTCCGAACCCATGGCTTGTTCTTCTTTAACAACTCGGTCAATGGTGCGGCCTTTGCTGAATATCCATTGATGAACCGATGATAGTAGTTAACAAGGCCAAGGAAGGATCTCAACTCAGTTACCTTTATAGGTGCCTCCCACTCCTGGATAGCACGTACCTTAGCCTTGTCCATGCGTAGCTCTCCATTGCTAATGACATGGACCAAGAAGTGCACCTTTGATTGTGCGAACTCACATTTCTCCCTCTTGATGTATAGCTCGTTCTCTCGCAAGACTTGGAAAACCTTCCTTAAGTGCTCCATGTGCTCCTCCAAGGTGTTGCTGTAGATGACTATGTCATCTAGGTAGACTACCACGAACTGATCAAGGTAGGGATGAAAGATCTTGTTCATAAGGGTGCAAAATGTGGCCGGTGTATTGGTTAAGCCAAAGGGCATTACCAACCATTCAAAGGCTCCATATCTCATCACACATGTTGTCTTTGGCTCATCCCCTTTCGCAATGCAAACCTGGTAGTAGCCCTTTCGAAGATCCACCTTGGTAAAGTACTTGGCTTGCCCAAGTCTATCGAACAAGTCAGCAATGAGCGGGATCGGGTACTTATTCTTCACGGTGACCTTATTAAGTGTTTGGTAGTCTATGCACAAATGCAACGATCCATCCTTCTTCTTTTGGAACAATACTGGTGCGCCAAAAGGTGCCTTTAATGGGCGAATGTGACCAGCATCTAGCAACTACTTCAATTGTTTCCTGAGCTCCTCTAGCTCGGGAGGTGCCATACGATATGGGCCAAATGCGGATGGCTTAGCCCCTGGCTCCAACTCAATCTTGTGATCCACCTCTCGCCTAGGCGGCAAGTGCTTAGGCAACTCCTCGGGCATGGCATCTTTGTTTTCCTTAAGCAATTTCTCTATGCAATGCGGCACTGTCTCTTGAAAATTTTTGTCTTCCTCTAGACTTGCAGTGGTTGCCACGAACGTCGGCTCCCCCTTCTTGATCCCCTTGACAACCTGCATAGCTGAGAGTTGTGCTTTGATCTGTCCGTGTGGCATAGTCACTGTAGGTACCATGCAAGCTCCTTCTCGCTCCATAACCAAAAGACGTTGGAGGTAGGGGTCGATTAAAGTATGACAATGTCTAAAGAACTCTTGCCCCAGTATGATGTCAAAAATATCCATAGCGGTTACGGTAAAGTTTGTCATATCTTTCCAAGTTCCCAATTTGACACCAACTCCATTAGCTACCCCACGAGCATTCTGTATCTCGGCATTCACGGTCTTGACGTGAGAGTTGGTTGGAGCAAGCTTCAATTCCAGTCTCTTTGCGGCAGCCTCAGTCACGAAATTATGAGTTGCTCCAGTGTCCACCATTGCACGAGCGGGCTTGTTGTTGATGGTGAGATCCACGTACTGATTGCCATTCTCGGTAGGTTGGATAGCTTGCTTCGTGACAGCACCACATAATCCGATCATACCCAACTGTGCGATTCCCGGACTCTCTCCTTGTGGCTGCTCCTTCCGCTCACGTACTATGGCACTGAGGCTCTTGAGGTCAGGACAATTCCTGAAGCCATGTGGCCCTCCGCATATATAGCATCCCTTCTTCTCGGCCTGCGCCTTCTTCTCGGCGTAGCCCTGATGACCACTCGACTTTTTGAAATCTTGAGTCTTGGAGTATTGTTGTTGTATCTCCTTGACTTTGCCACGGTCTCCCCCACCTTTGACATTGTTAACCTTTGACTTCTTGCCATTGCCTTTGACGTGCTTGTCATGCCTGAAATCCATTAATGATTCGGCCTTCACTATGGCTTGGTCTATATCAGTGACTTGTCGGCGTTGCAACTCCTGCTTAGCCCAATTTTGCAACCCGTCCATGAAGTGGAACAACAAGTCATCATTGGTCAAGTTGGGGATTTGAAGCATAAGGGTAGTGAACTCCTTGACATAGTTATGTATGCTCCCTGTTTGCTTTAATTCCCTAAACTTGCGCCTTGCCTTGTATAAGACATTGTTTGGAAAGAACTGTAGCTTGAACTCCACTTTGAACTGATCTTATGTGCTAATAGTACATAGACCTTTATCCACGTCGGCCATCTTCCTTCTCCACCATAGCATGGCAGTCTCTGAGAGGTACAATACCGCAGTGTTGATCTTGGCCTCGTCATCCCTCACTTTGC